CCCTAAGCTCTCCTCTCCCTCTCACCTACCCCCCCCCCCCCCCCCCCACCCCCACCCCTACCGACCTAGCCTCTCCTTTCATACTCTACAATCACTACAACAATTCTCATCTCCATTTTTAGACCACAAAAAAACCTCCTCCTTTCCTCTCTCATTTTCAACGGTTGTTATTAAGTGACTGGCTGACTGGCTGGCTGGCTGGCTGGCTGTCAAATCAGGACTATACCCCCAAGCCAACAACCCCCTCCCCCCCTGAGAAAAACCAGCCAAGATGTAAATCCGACGTTAAAGATCCAAGACCTTTCTCATCTCTCTCGTAATCTCTTGTTAAAATCAGAGTTATTTTTTTTTTTTTTTTTTTTTTTTTTTGGAAAAAATTTAAAAAACCGAAAAAATCTGATAATAAATTAAGATTATCTATGATGACGAGATGTGAAATTCTTAATCGAGAGATAACAATAAGAGAGAAAGGGATAAAGCCCTTGGTACACGGGAAAGAAAGGTGCACACTCCCGTTACAATATAATTTTAGTACGATCTCGGTGCCCCTCGAGTCAAGCTTCTTCTTGAGAATTTCATTGATGATTGACCTCCCCCTCCCCCCCCACTCCTCCACCCTCCACCTCCCGTCGCGAATACGTGAACGCGAGCAGCCCACTTCCCTCTTCCCGTCCATCTCCATCTCATTTCAACCAACCGCTACAACTAGAATACAGAGCGGAACAGCAGCACCAGCGCCTTGCCGACCAAGCCGTACAGCGTCCGCGGCGTGTGGTTCTGCAACACCACATCGGGAATCTTCTCGTCCAGGTAGAACTCGACCAGGAGGTCACGGTCTAGGGCCACCTGGGCCGTGTTCAGCAGCGAGACCGTCTGCAGCAGGTTGACGAACCACAGGTTCATGGGAAGCGCGGGTGACCCGGCCGCCCTGCTCTCCTTCTTGCGGCGGTTGTACGTCTTGGCCAGGCTCGCGAGGGTGACGGGCCCACCGTCAGCATCGGCCAGGAGCGCCTGGAATAGCGTCGGCTGGAACGTGTAGTTGTCGCCCTGGCGGAAATCGAAGCGTGTCACCGACTGCAGGGTCCGTCGGGGTTAGCATCAGCAGGAATCGTCTTGTTGAGGGCTAGACTAGAAATGACTACTGACCCGGTCGTGCTCGAGAACGTTGTGCTTCCGCATGTCGAAGAGATCAAATGTGCCGTCTTTGCGGACAATCGGCTTCAGACTGTGGGCGAGGTTCGCGGCGAGGGGGCCGTCGAAGTGGAGAGCGCTCTTCAGAACGGCGTGCACGTCGGTGATGGTGATGTTCCGGCCATCGCGGGGGCTTTTTTTCTCAATTTATCTCTTGTCAGCGACGATGGTCGAAATTCCGGATATTGTTACTGCTGTTCGGTGAGATTATTACTTACAGGTAGCCCTGGTTGGCGAGGGCGTTCAATGCCGGGCAGGGTCCCCGATCTGAAATGTCCCCGCGGATGTAGATATGGTCACTCTCTCCGTCCGCGTTGACGAATTTGGCAGGTGGCTCCGCCGTCGTCGACCCGAAGGTGAACAAGCCCTTCAGGACGCTGGTGAAGTTCAGATACATGGTGTGAGGGATTTGCGAGCTGGGGAACTGGCACCACCACGCTGTATAATAAACAGAAGCCTACCCGGTGTTGGTGCCCATGTATCTATCTCCAGATATGTCTGCGGTGCTTTGCATGATCAGTTCCGCACTGCTTTGCTGACGTGGGAGCCTGATGTCGAGCTACGCGCTTTGCGGAAAGCTGAGACGTCGACTTGCATGAAATATCACCACACCGCGCCACTATTCATCAACATGTCAATTGGTTTTCACCTGCTGTATCCCGCAACCGAAGATACTTGGGAGAGGCCGTTGAGAAAATCCATCCACTCGACTCTACCCGGTTGGATTGGGGATGTCGTGAAACCATAAGCGAGACCCCGGATTTTCAGCTCCTGCACGTACCGGCACGTACATGCATGGGAGTTCAGGAAAGCCGATAGGGACGGCAATGAAAATTGCCCTGTCCAGCCCTACTTGTGTACCAGCTTCCGTCCCGTCCGCAGATTCACATGCGGGGATGTCACTCGTATGATATCTCATACATATATCCACCGCAGATCAATATTGAGGGTGATGTGAGGCCGTGGTGGCACAGCTTTTTGCTCAGCAATCCCCCTTTTGCAATTGGTTTGCAGCGAGAATTCTTCTTCCTCCTTCGCAATTGGTTTTCGGGGCGCAGAAATCTCATGCGTACATACAAAGTAATTGAAGGACACCGCCGGACACGGGACAGCGGGGAGGCAAATCCGAAAGAATTGCAAAGAACTTCTGACATGCATAAGCAGGCTGAAAATTGCATTGCATCCGTGTGGTTTGAGGCCGATATTCTATGGCGAGGTCGCAGGTGGATCTGGCTCGTGTCTCTCGATCTGCCATGTTGTTATTTACGCAAGTTCGGGGATCCAGAGCTTCTTCGCCCTTGGTGTTTTAAAGTTGAATTGTTGGTTCAACTCATGTGCGGTATCGCGCCAGAAGTCTCAAATTTTCAATTGTGATTTCAAGGGACTGAGTAAGTATACTCCTGTCTTCAAAGTTCCGTCGCGTTTAAGGCTTGGGTTATATACATGTCTGTAGATCACCATCAGCAGCTCCTGACAGGTAGACAGCATCAGGCATACTATATACTCAGCTTTGGGTCACGAAGCTCGGCTTAAGCTTGCAGCTGCAGCTGTTTTTGACAGGGGCTCTGGTAGCGGATCACTCTTAAGACACGACGTTGTCCCTGCCAAGCTGGTATTGATCCCCTCCCAGACCGGCCCCATTCTCTGCAGATTTCCAGGCGGTTGTGACCACGATGTCGAACCCAGCACCCCTCAGCTCCAACAAAGTCCCCGTGACGGAATCGCCCAGCTTCCAGCCATCGTTTCTCGAGCGATTTTTTATCGCATTTTTCCACGTCGTCAACTTCTTCGTTCCATGGCATAGGCTGCCAGGCTTCATCGGCGCCATCAACTTGGGTTTCATGAGAATTGAGCTACGCGCTCATAATCTCCACGATGGTAGGTAGTGAGGAGAAGGGGAGGGGGTCTTGTCCTTCTTCTGGCCTTCTCCCGAAATCTTTATAAACAGGCAGTTACTGACTCCCCTGTCTTCTTCTAGGCTACGCTTCCGGCTCAGCTCAAGGCAATACCATAGTGGAGCCGATGACAGACGCGCGGTTCCTCAACAGCAGGAACTCAGATGGCAAGTTCAATTCGCTCGAGATGCCATTGATGGGCTGTTCAGGCACACGATTCGGCCGCAACTTCTCACGGAAGTACTGCCAGAAGCCGACGGAAGAAGAGCTCTGGACGCCCAACCCCCGGATGGTAGCTGAGAAGTTCATGACGAGAGGTCCTGGTGGCTTCATTCCAGCGACGAGTCTGAACCTGCTAGCGGCGGCGTGGATCCAGTTTCAAACCCATGACTGGTTCAATCACGAGGCCGTAAGTTAGATCCCGAACCTAATCATTATGACCTGGTTTCTGATACATGAGGTGCTGCCAGAGTAACGAGACCTTCGATGTGCCGCTTCCGCCTGGCGATAAGTGGCCTCAAGAATACATGAAGCTTCACAAAAGCCTGCCAGACGAGACGCTCGACCCTTCGGATGTCAAGTGCCCCGGCTACAAGAGCCAGAACACGGCCTGGTCAGCAGACTCCCTCCTTTGTTTTCCAAATGATACTAATTTTCAGAGTCAGGTGGGACGCCAGTCAGATCTACGGCTCGTCCGAAGCAGTGACGCGAGGTCTCAGAACAATCCACCAGGATGGAAAGCTGCTTCTGACCAAAGGAGGCAGAGAGGCGTTCATACCCCGTGGTGATGACGGGTTGCCTATGACGGGGTTCAACAGCAATTGGTGGATTGGGATGGAGATGCTGCACACTTTATTCGCACTTGAGCACAACTCTATCTGTGATACTCTCCGCTTGGCCTATCCGGACTGGACTGGGGACGAGATTTTTGAAAAGTGGGTGTGCACAAGCCTTGAAAAATCTCCCTGGATACGGTTACGCTGACACTTTCGCCTAGGGCCCGGCTTGTCAACTGTGCTCTGATGGCGAAGATCCATACCGTCGAGTGGACGCCTGCAATCCTCGCACACCCCGCCTTGCAGATTGGGATGGCAGCCAATTGGTGGGGGATCGTTGGGGAGACCTTGACCAAGCTCGTCGGTCGCGTTTCCAAAACCAGCGAGGCCATCAGCGGGATCCCCGGCTCGACGGTAGACCAGTCCGGCGTTCCCTACTCCTTGACTGAGGAGTTTGCGTCGGTGTATCGAATGCACGCTTTGATTCCAGACGACATAGCATTTTTTACCGCCGAGGATGGCAAGCATCAAACCACCATTCCCATCGTGGACACCACTTTCACCAAAGCCCAAGCACCTCTCGATGCCGGGCTGTCCTTTGCCGACGTCTTCTACTCGTTTGGCATCAACTACCCCGGAGCCATCACCAATTTCAACGTAGGTAGTCAGGCAACAGACCCTCCCCCCTCCCTTCCAAATCCCGTTTCAGAGCCATGCCCCACCGAACAATAACTGATATCCTGCTCGCACTTAGTATCCCAACTTCCTGCGTAATCTGGAGTCCCCCGATGGTCAGCTTCGGGACATGGGAACCATCGATATCCTGCGCGACCGCGAGCGTGGTGTCCCTCGGTATCGAATTTCCTCCTCAAGACCTCCATATCCTCTTCTCAATGAACCCGCGTAGCTAACCCAATCTCTAATCAAAAAGGTACAACCAGTTCCGCCGCCTCCTGCGCATGTCGGCCCCGAAGACCTTCGAGGAGCTCACCGGTGGCAACATCCCTCTCGCGCAGTCCCTGCGCGAGGTCTACGGCGACATCGAGCTCGTCGACACCATCGTAGGCTGCCACAGCGAGCCCCTGCCCGCGGGCTTCGGCTTCAGCGACACGGCCTTCCGCATTTTCATCGTGATGGCCAGCCGCCGACTGAAGAGCGATCGCTTCATCGCCGGGCAGTGGAACGCCGAGACCTACACGAAGGAGGGCTTCCACTGGGTGCAGCATAATGGGATGAAGGATGTGCTGATCCGGCACTTTCCCGAGTTGAAGGGGACCTTGGAGAAGAGCAAGAATGCGTTTGCTCCGTGGGAAAAGCTGGATGAGTCGAAGAAGTATGGGGGCATTGAGACGAATGCGCCCAAATAGTAAAGCTTTTTTTGTTTGACGGGTCTCTCTGTATGGTATTAGTGAGCGATTTCGTTAATTTTATGGGAGTACAGGAATTGCTTTGAGAGATCCTGATAATAACTCCTATGAGAGTTTTCTCTCTACAAGTGTTGTGAAGCCCAGTTCGAACCGTGAGGATCCCAGGCGCCGTATAAAGTGGCGCATAGGTATGAAAGACAAGCAATATACCGAAGTAGCCGAAAGTCTCTGCTATAAAATCGAGAAAATATCTGATGAAACTTGTGGACATTCAAAGCTGGAGAAAGCCGCATCGGATTCCATGGTGACCAAGACATCTCCGCAGCTAGGTTGACAGCGAGGTTCTTGATTGGAGTAGATATTTCGTCGATGGTGAGACAGTCGTGGTTGATGGATTTTTTCTGTTGTATCTCTGATGAGCTCTGATGGACGGACTGATTGATGATTGAGCTTGATGATCGAGGTTAATAATTGAGGTTGATGATTCCGTGCGCCCTATTGGCCTAAGGTCACGTTCTTCAGGTTACAACAGGCAGGAACAACTTACAAGGGCAAGGACAAGGCACAGATAGGGCAGATAATAGTAGATACTTTTTTTTTGTTATAGTAAGGAAAAGAAAGAATTTATTTTTCCTTCCTTGAAGTACTATTATAGCGGAAAGTACTTCAAGTGTTACAGTAGAAACTGTGGTAACAGTAGCTGGTAAGGTAGAGAAGTATGCACGACACGACAATGATGCAATAGAAATCCCCGAATGCTCTTGCTTTTGCCCAAGATATAGCTCAGTGCGTCAAGGAGACGATATAGTCCCGGGGAGGGTGCAATCTCATCCTCGTCTGGGAACAGATCACCCATCTTGAAAGACTTCCAATCTGCCTTCCTCAGTAACGGACGAAGCTATGTATCCACCAAAAATATGGATGTCGTCGTTCCCTTGTCCTTGGAAGCAAATTACTATTGCCCCTCGTGCTTGTTGTTTCGCGCCCAGGAGCTCTGCTGTTCTTGCGCTTATGCAAGTCAATCGAAGATGGACAACAATCCACGGCCCTCCAAGCGCGCGCACAGGTCCCGTGATCGATGCCGAACAAGAAAGCAGAAATGGCCACGGATTTCCATTATGTACCTATGAATTGCGCCGGCGCAAAGCAGCATCGTATCCAGCCGTCATCTGTCATTGAAGAGTTCGATAGGTAGGCCAGAGACCTATTGGTCGATGAATACTATTAAGGTTGCCACGGGCAGAAGTAAATGATTCCCTCCGTCTCGGTGAGCCTGGAAGGGTGGGGCGGAAGTTTGATTTTAGTAAGTAACTCAGAGATCGGGAAGGAACGCGAAAAAAAAGGAAAAAAAGGGCGGGAAATTGAAAATGAAAAAAAAAAAAAAAAAAAAAAAAAAGAGAGAGAGAAAAACAACAAAAAGCTAAATACCTATTCTTTACCCCTGGGACAGGACCCCTTCCGAAGGAAGCCATTATCGAGTGAATAGGGAAAATACCCTGATGTTTTATACCGCATGTTCTCATATTAGGAGTCGTTTCTTCGGCGGAAGTAGGTGGGCTACCCGCAGATTCGTCGTAACTAGAGTAAACGGTTGATTGTAAGGAAAATTGATGTAGGGCCTCACATAGGTGGATATTATTTTTGATTTCGCCAAAGTGCCTGGTGTGGGTGAATTAGCGAAAGGGGGCTTGTTGATCCGGTAGACGACGACTGGTCTGGTATATCGCAGCAGTCTGTCCTTCGCCGACCTTTTAAACATCTCGAATCTCTTCGAACATCGCCCTCGCTGTACAGTACTTTCGGTTGGAGCGACTGGGGTCTTACATCCAGGGTCGATTATACAGCGACAGGTCAGTTGCTTCGGTCGAGCCTAGGATTGACTACCCCGGCATTGAAAATACGAGAAGACTGGCTGGCATCGGGCAATCCCATCGTCGTCTCCTTACGAGTCTGACTACCTCAATATACATTGCAACAAAGCCATGCCTCCTTCAAACGTGAGCTAGTCCACTCCCCGAGAACGCAGCCTCCTCATCGTATATCTTCTTCTTATTTTTCCCATCCATACCGATCCTATACACTGCCCCGCCCAGATCCGTCAGGTAGATGTGTTTGTTAACCTGATATAGCTTCAGCCCAATAGCTTCATGCAACCGTCTCGTCAGAATCTCGTATTTCGGATTCTTCTCCCCCTCCTTCAACGCCGACAGCGTCGAAATCTTAATCGCGTTCAGACTGTGCCCGTGGGTGGACCACCGCGATCCGTCCAGAACAGCGTCTGCGAATCCTCGTCGATCTCCAGATCGATCTGCTCGGGTAGGCCGGGGAAGAGCAGTTCGATATCCGAGCGGTTTGATGCGTCTTGGCCTCTGGGAATCTCGATATTGGCGCGGAAGATGCGGCCTTTGCCGCCTTTGGACATGCCCTTTTGAGACCAGTAGAACTCTCCTTCCTGCTGGCTGATGCTGCTGCCGACGTTTCAGTCGAGGTGGTTTTCCCGGCCTTCTCTCTTCTCCCAGTTCCCGTTCTGGATGAGGGTCTCCTGCTGGGTGCCGTCGAAGTTGGCGCGCATCACGCAGAGGCCTTCGCGGTCGCAGAAGTAGAGCTTGTCGTTCTCTTGGTCGATGATGAGTTGTTCGGGGGTATGGACTCCGGACTTGATAACGGTTTGGACATCGTACATGATTTTACTTGCCCGTCGTTCTGATCGGGGATGTCTATGTTTGTCCAGAAGATACGACTGCTTTAAGAGAAACGTCGAGCCCGTCGGGTAGGGCTTGGTCTGAGACGAGGGTGCGGAGTTCTCGACCGTCTAGAGATCCTACGAGCACTTTTCCGGAGTGGACAGTGTTTTCCAAGTTCATCAGGCCCAGGTCTAGGATATAGCTGATCCTCGGTCAGTTATATATTGTGGATGGTGGATGACATCCGGGCTTACAGAGACGGAGCATGCACGTTATCGTGATGCGACTTATCCCCCCCCTTCGACTTCGTCATTGAATCAGGAGGTAGAGCTCTCCCTTACCACTCTTCGCACCCAATTTCCCCTGCTCGATATAATTCTCAAGAACTCCATAGGCTTCCTGTGTTGTCGATTATCTCGTGCGAGCCACCGACGAAAAAGGAAACAAGCTGCCGGAGAAGTATCGCAGTGACGCAACATTAGTCACGGAGGGAGCAGGCTTCGTTACCACGGGAAGTCTTCTCGCATGGATCATCTTCAGTCTCGTATCTTATCCAGAGAGCCAGGAGAGATTACTACAGGAGCTAGTAGACCACGGCGTGTCCAGAGACACAGTGGAATCCCGATCTCGCCAACGACCTTCCTTTCCTCGGGATCCTGATCAAGGAAGTCCTGAGACGCTACAATCCATACTACCAGCCGGGAAGGACCGCTTTCGCCGACGAAATCATCTCCAGGCGGGTACCGCAGTCCAAAAGACGCCGTGGTGATCGTCGCCATCCATCACATCCACAACAACCCCAAGATCTGGGACAACCCGGCGAAGTTCACCCCCGATCGCTGGACCACCGACAAAGTGAAGAACCGACACAAGACTGCTCATGTACCCTTTGCGGCCGGGCAACGGACGTGCATCGGCTTCAGGTTCGCCCGGATGGAAGGCCGGGTCGTCATCTCCATGTTGGTTTAGCGGTACCAGTTGCGAGAAGTTGGGCAATGATCCCACCGAGTACGACCGGTCGTTCCAGCTGACCAGGCCGATGGATTTCTACGCGAGGGCGAGAAAGCGGACGACCTAGCCGGAGAAATCGAAGACGGCAATAGCCCAATGCTCATACTTCTTGAAGCGGGTGACATCGCAAGGGCCATGCAAATCGCTAAACTTGACGTCTTTCCATCATCAAAGTCCATCGTAAGATAGCAAAACTTTGAGAGGAGGGACGGTGTCACGACATACACTAGAGATGCCACCCCTTACATCAATATCAGGTCCCTTCTCGAATAGTCTCGCTTAGCTGCATATCCTAGCGAGATCAGCTCACCTCGAAATAAACACACGCGTAAGAATTTTCTCTCTTCGTAGAGTGAGGAGGAGCTCGCTATCTCTCGCGCTTGTATATCAGCTCATACGAGATCACAGCTCGAAATGTTCCTCGAGGCTAGAGAGTCAAGCACTCCCTCTTCTCGTTGTTTTGATCACATGACTCAACTACTTTCTCTAGTTTCTTCTGTCCTCCAACCGCCAACACCAGAGAGAGATGGACCATTTGCTAACGCTTCAGTCCATCCATACCCAAACCTCGTCCGCCGTTCGCAATGGCCCGCTCTAGGCCTCGGCGGATAAAAAACAAAAAAAAAAAAAGTCAAGGATTTGAAAAGCGGATGCTTGGGTAACCTGCTGATTGGACGTGGACATTTGCGAATTTTATGAAGGCTAGATAGATACCTTGAGCGTAGTATTGAGTTGTTTTTGCGGGCACGCTCCCCGGGTGGTCATCTTCGCGAAATCGAATTCATTCCTGCACTCGGATTACCGTACCTATTCCTATGCTTTGAGTGGATCGGACTCAATCCGTGAACTTCGTATGCAAGCATCGACGAAGCCAGCCCCACTCTTGTCCAACCTCATCCAATCGCCACGGCTGAACATAACAAAGAGGACACACACCCAGAAAAAAAAACCCTCCTGGACACTTCCTCGATTCCCATAATTGTCCGAGAGCCAATTCAAGACGCCCAAGGCCTCGCTTCGAGCCCTTCGTAATTGGAAATAAAAAAACGCTGTAGAGACCTGTCATGTCCCCTTCCTCCTCCTCCCCTTCCCACATCATCATCCTCGGCGCAGGCGTCACAGGCCTGACCACCGCCTTGGAACTCGCCTCCCGCTGCGAGCACGCTCCTCCTCCCTCTTCTCCCCCTCCGATGAAGATTACGATTCTGGCTAGGCATGTACCCGGCGATCGCGACGTCGCCTATGCGTCGCCCTGGGCAGGCGCGAACTGGCTGAGCGGGGCGACGGATGGAGGCCGCGCGGAGGGGTGGGATGCTTGGACGTTTGGGAAGCTGGGGGCGTTAGCTGATGAGGTTTGTTGGATGTCGTTTGTTTTCGCTTGTTCTTCTCGCGCTCTCTCGTCATCTTCTCTCTGTTCGGTGCTGGGGGAGGGGGGAAGAGAGAGAGAGTTTGTAGTTGCAGTGTTTAGTTTTCAAAATGGAGAGAGATGTCGGTGGACAAGTATGCTGATGTGTGGATATGTAGGTGAAAGAGGCTGGGGTGCAGCGAATGAAAATCCAGGCTTTTTATGATAGCGCCGTGGAAGAGGCGGGGATCCTGAGCCGGGGGACGGGGAAGGTTTGGTATGAAGGGTTGACGGGGCTGAGGGTATGTATATCTTTTTAGGAAACTGCGGTCCTCTTCTCTTTGGCGGACGTTAAAGTCGAGGTTTGATACTTGACGGAAGGGAGGCGGTTGGAAGATGCATTTGCTGACGTCCGGGCGTAGTGGATGCGCAAGGAGGAGTTGAGAGAAGGCGCTGTCTTCGGCTACGAATGCGAGAGTTTCGTCATTAATGTGCAGATGTACTTGCCTTGGTACGTCTGATGTGCTTCTCGCTTGTTTATTCATGTCGCTTATTTACACCTCGTTTATGTTTTGATTCGCTTGTATATTACTTCGCTTATCAGATTTGATTTACGTCTTAGTAGTTTCTTGAATAAAATCCCAACAGTCTTTTATTTTTTCCATCGTGTTGCCCAATCAAATGATTTGCAGCGCTGACCGACTCTCAGGCTGCAAAACGAATGCTTAAAGAAAGGCGTCGAGATCCGCCGGAAATCGGTCGAGTCCATCTCAGACGTCTTCACTGACTACCCCGAAGCGAGAGCAGTATTCAACTGCACAGGCCTCGGGTCCTACTCCCTCAAAGGCGTCGAAGACAAATCCATGTACCCTACCCGAGTTCGTACACCTTACCTTCTCCTCCCCTCTCCCCTATTCTTATCTATCCCTTTTACCTCCAACTCACAAACCCAGGGCCAAATCATGCTCGTCGAATCCCCCAAAGTTCCTCTCACAAGGATGTATTTCCGGTCGCCGCAGCGAGTCAACAGAGACACAACTTACGTTTTCCCGCGCAACCCTGGCGGAGGCGTGATCCTCGGCGGCTGCAGAATTGACAACGAGTGGGGTGCGGATGTAGACTTAGCGTTCGCGGAGGACATCAAGAGGAGGTGCTGCGAGCTTGCGCCGGAGCTAGGGCGGCCGGAGGATTTGAAAGTCTTGCAGCATGGGGTTGGGTTGCGACGTGAGTACTATTTTTCTTCTCTCTCTCTCACACACACACACACACTCTCTCTCTCTCTCTTCCTTTCTTATTTGCAGCCGAAGAATGTCCAAGGGAAACATGATTCACATGGATACTAATCCGAACCCATTTTCCAGCGAGCAGGAAAGGAGGACCGAGGCTGGAGAGGGAGCTTATCGGGGGAGGTGTAGTGATTCACAATTACGGTGCTGCCGGAGCCGGGTATCAAGCCAGCTGGTAAGTGAGCGATGTTTGTTTTCCCACCCCACTTTACTTCACTCCGGATCGAGCAAGAGCTGATCAACCCGACCTCCACGTATAGGGGCATGGCGAAGGAGGCGGTAGACTTGTTGCAGAAAGACTCGAAGCTGTAGAGAGAGCGTTTGCTTTACTTAGCCATCCCATACCCGTCCATCAATACCTATCCATCTATACCCATCCATCTATACCCATCCAGCCGTGTCCTTATATATGCTGCACGTGTGTCATCAAGCTAGGAAGGGCTTCCGATGATCGAATGAAGCTTATAGAATTTCATCTAAGAGACTGACGCAAGAAGAGATAAAGATTCTCGTATACGCTAATAGGCGGAGGGTCACGTGAGCTGGAATCAAGTGGAACCTTAGGCATCATGGAGGACTGACCCGTGCTATGGCAGAGCCAAGAGGAGCATTTCGCATAACACACTTCTTCATTGTAGCTTAAAGGCTATGACTGATCCAAATGGACGAAATCTCTAAGAGAATACGAAGAAATTATGCTTTGAATGAAGCTTCTAAAGGGGTATGTAAGCGGTAATAAGCGCTAGAAGTAGTGGCTATTACGCACCCCCGAGGTTCAGGCTCAAGAGATGGTGCCAGCTGAAAGTCGTTGCTGATCGAATCTCTTATCAAGGTATGAATATGTATATATATATATATATATGGATGGTAGCGAAGTGCTCTTATTTGAAATTGTGACCCATGTAACCAAGTCTCGATAACCCTCCCTCCCTACTGTGTGTGCACAGCACTAGCAAGTTAAAAGATCAAGGAATTAAAAAAAAGTGAAAGTGCCTTCGACACTAGACGCGATTACCAGGTATCACCGATTAGAGCCAGCGCGAGTCACGGTACCAGAACGAAGGTCCCGATGAAGGGTCTAGATTTTTTACCAAAGAGAGAAGAGACTGCAAGGTGCGAGGAGAGGAAAGGAAAGGAAAGGAAAGGAGAGGAGAAAAGTTCCTCAGGGGACTGACTGACTATGCGCGCGCCCGTGTTCCTCGGCTGTTCTATCCTATCGACCGCATTGCCGGGTCAGTCTGCTCGTACCGCGCTGAGGTACGGTAGGTACCTACTACTAGTTACCAGCTACGGTGTACCTACCGTGGTAAGCACGCTAGGAGCCTATCAAGCTTTCCTCGCTCACCAAGGCAGGCAGGCCCCCCTCGCGTCGAGCCTGGGGGACGGGATGTCCTCGGATGCTGTTAAGTACCGTACCGCCCTTTTAATCCACTCACTCCTGGCAGATAGATGTTGCGGATCTCGCTTCCGCAACGAGTCCAAGATCGGTGCCGTGGCACCGTACGTAGGTAGGTGGGCTTGATGCCGGGAACCGCCGCGCCCGTAATATAGTATGCCTTTAAGCTAATGCAAGTGACGGATCTTGGACTGCCGTCGTTCGTGCCGCTGGGTACTACTAGGTAGGTAGCACATGAGCGGACGGTCCACCGTGCCGGTCGGCGTTGGTGACGGTGAAATCCTCGATTGTCACGTTTCCCCTTCCGTTCTAGAGGGAGCTCGTAACAGGTAGAGAGAGCACCAAGCAGGATATCAGCAAAGGTACTTGTAGCAGGAAGTATCCGATCTACCGGTACCAGTATCCAAGAGCGCAAAGGCGCAACCTTACAGGCCTCATCGATTCCCTCAATCCAACCTCAATCCAATTGAAAAAAAAAGAAAGAAAAAAAAAAAAAAAAAAACAAAAAACAACACACACAC